GTTGTGCACCCGCCTATAGGTGCATATTACTAACGCGCTCTTTAAATAACAAAGAAAAAATATTGAGCCGGACTTTAGACCAGGTTTGAGTTGGTCTATGGCGCAGTCTATTTTCAGTTCCTCAAAATAGCAACGCGCCAACAATGCGCCTGAACACTCCTCTTTTTTAGACCAGCACGCCCATGGGCGCACCAATGGGCGCAAATGCATTTGCTATTTAAACAACGCGGCGGGAATGATGGGAAAATGAGAACTGCGTCGGGCTGAAACTAGCAAAAACACTTGCGCCGCGCATTGCGCCGGGTGTATGATAGGGCCCATTATTTCAAATGGCAATATTTCACAATATTTCTTTTTTACTGTATTTTTGATCAAATAATTACAGCCTTGGTGGGCATTAGAGACTTCAGAAACATTGAAATTAGATTTTTTCACATTTTTATTTATTTTCATAAATACAATTATTTCTCTTTTTTTGGCTTTCATTTTAGCTTTAACAAAAGAGTTTAATAGAAAAGTACTTGTACAGCTGTCTTCACTTGTCTTCACTGTAACTGACACTCTGGGACAAATTACATTGAGAGTTTATTACTTGGCATTATTTTTTTAATAGTATTGAGAATTTCATTTTAGTTCTCTCTCTAGTGTATTTGAGGCAAGCTCACATGACTCTCATTCTTACAGACCATCCTCATTCTCTCCCACAACTCTCACATGCTTGTTTGACCCTCGTAAAATCAGATGTGAGAGAATGTTCTTCACAGCGAACTGTGTTTATCTAGGCTTGCAGGTGCACGTTTGTGGGGGAGGAATAAAAGAAGAATTGAATTAATCATTGCATGCATAGTCTAGTCTATTGTGTGTTGCGTCTTTTGTTTTCATAACTGTACTTTCACCAGCACAAAAGAATGTTTTGTTTGAATGTGTGAGTATAACAAACTATCGTCGTTTGAGCTCAAGCAAAGATGACAGGTCAGACGAAATGTTTTGTTTGAGTATGGAGAAGTTGGTAATTTAAAGATTCGAAAACGATTAAAACTTTAAAGCTTCCTGATTACATGCTCATAAAGAGTTTGAGATTGTAAATGAGAAGACTTGTCTTGCTAGATATTTGTTGTTGGCTTGTAACACTGAGGTACGATTACATGATTTAGAGGATGGTGAATGGCAGAGGTCAGGAATCAGGATTGAGTGCTGAAGATGTTCGGTCGTGGCTGGAAGTCCAGATCACCTTACACTAGTCCTTCACTCGATGACCACTTCTCCCCCAATCCACCCGTTTCTCTTTCCGTCAGGCCTCCGAAGCCTTCTGTCTGCCATCTTCTGGAAGTCAGTGACACTGCATGAGCCATACAGCAACCGTATTCATTCCAAAATCCCATTCATTTTCTCCATAGAGAAATAGATTTTTAACAATAACATAAAGTTTTCAAAACAGACCCACCATGAGTTCAAACAGGTGATGTATACAAAGTCAATCTGATTTAAGCTTCATTTTAAAAGTTCCCTGTAACGAATTATGCTACTTATAATGCCAGGAGCAATTGATATTGTGTCTCCTGAGGCACTCCAGTGTCCCCTAAATTTTTGCCAGTGGAAATGCCTCAAGTGAAGCCCCCAGACAGATTTAAGGGAAGATTAATCGGAGGTTTTATATAGATGCGACTGAGTAAATCAGGGGCCCCGCGGTTCCTCTCTCTGTCGCCAGGAAAACTCGTTAATCCTTTCGTAGCTCAGGGAAGCCTAGAGTTGTCAGTGTTGTTTCCGCTCCTCTTTCCTGCTCGATATGACATCAGCTTTTTTTTTTCTGCTTCTTTTCTTTTTAAAGCCGCACCCTAGTTTTGCAATCAGGGTTTCCTGTGAATGCAGTTTTTGGCTGACTGAACGTACTGCAGTTGTGTGTGAAAACTTCATGTGACTATGGCTGCATATATATATGTCTGTGCATACAGACATAATAAACCCAGGCAAACAGCAAGGATTGTGTTATGATTGTGGCTTCTTAATCTTTAGAGTTTTTATCCTGCAAGTGGACTGTTTATAATGGATTTTTATGATGACCTGTTTTTGTGGCTGTTTTTTATTACAAAATGTTAAAAAAAGTTTCATTCATCCAATTAAAAAAAATTAGGGTAATGATTCATATCTATATTTTTTAACTTGAGCCAATGAAAAATAAATAACTTGCCCTTAAGTTATTTATTTTTCATTGGCTCAAGTTAAAAAATATAGATGTGAATCATTAACCTAATTTTTTTTAATTGGATGAATGAAACATTTTTTTCAGTGTGACCTTTTTGAAATTATAAATAATTTATTATTTTATTTTATTTTATCAGTTATTTCTTTCTCCAGAATTATGCACATTCTGTTTTCAGATATTTTTTATGAACTGAGCATTTTATTTTATTTTAATTTTGCTCAAATTTATGCACATTCTGTTTTTGGATTTGTTTTTTTTTGTTTTTTTTCCTGAAGTTTTTTTTTCAGGATTCTTTAATAAATGGAAAGTTCAAAAGAACATAATTTCCAATTGAATTCTATGTATAGAAAGAGAAAAGAATTGTCTACTGAATAAAGTGTATTACTGTGTAACTGCATCTATGTTTATGCACTCGGCAAGCACTTTTATCCAAAGTGACTTGCGTTACATTCAAGGAATGCATTTATTAGTTCATGCATTCACTGGGAATCAAACCCATGACATGTTTTGCTGTTTGATCTGCAGGAATGCATCTTGCATATAAAAATGCACATTGTAATGACTTCTGTTGTTCATGTCTTTTCTCCTCTGAAAGTCTAGTGCACAATCTTTGCCAGATGTTGCTTGGTTCATGAATATTAATTGCGTTATGTAACATTTCACCCTAAAGCGAGCCTTGTTAGGTGAGCGCCTAGCATTTGTAGAAATGCTTTACCACTTGCATTTCATTCAGCCCATTGCTAAAACAACCATTTGACTTCTGCTTGATCCTAAAGTTGTTGGTTTTACCCTGCTGGCTACATTTTCTTTACTTTTGAACTGCAGTCAAGCAAAATAAATCTCTTGAAAACATTTTGTACTGGTAGAATGTGTGTGGTTTTCTTTACACAGGCTACAGATCGCTCAGGAGGAGCATCGTTCAGTGGAGGTGGAGAAGGTAAACCTGGAGCAGAAGCTGAGGGACGAGATCAACGCTGCCAAACAAGAAGCGCAGAGACTGAAGGAGCTCCGAGAGGGAACTGAGAACGAGTTGAGCCGACAGAAATACGCAGAGGAGGAGCTGGAGCAGGTAAAAGTCACCTAATAAATATGCAAGATGTTCAAATGGGGTTAGACTTAGATCTAACTGGTCTAGACCTCAAATTTGAAAAAAATCTTGATTCTGATTGGGTTGGCTTTCTTCACAAAATAATGGTCAGGAAGTGGGTGGAAATGCTTGCAAGATGATCTGAAAGGTTATCAACAAAATGATTTCCTGTACTGATGAAGTTTGAGTATCTTCCCAGTGCAGTGTCCAGTGCATCAGCACGCTGTGGCCTACTTTACTGAGCAATTACCACAGTGCTGTTGCATAAGGGGCAGTTTGACACTTCAGATCTGGAGAAGAACCTTTGTAGGAGCTGAAGAGAGAATTATAACAAGCTCTGATATGTCAAGGACAGCGAGTGGTTCCTTCTGTGACAATATAAGGGTTCAGTTTGTTTCTATATGTATGAAATCCACAAGTGGCATGAATAGACCTGAATTGTTTGTTTGCATAGGTGCCCCATGTTGGCCTATTAAAACCCTGGCGCTAAGTGGGTATTCTGGGTCATAGGGCGGCACAAATCTCTGTGGGTTTGAAGCTCATTAGCGCTGTTCTGTGAGAAAGGGGTCTTTCGGATCTCCGACCCCTCAGCCCACACCCCAAGGCTCTTATTGTATGAGCTCTGTTTATTTACCGCTGTAATAGAGGAGCTGATTAACCGTGTTTATCTTAGTAAGGTTAGGTTGGGGTGTAAAGCTTATCTGTGACTAATTAATTTGCATCTTGTCGTAGCAAAATGTTTCAGGTGGTGAAATTTATGCTGTTTGTTCTCATTAGCTTGCCAAATGAGTCAGTCGTGAGTCATGTAAATTAGCTAATTGTCATAATCAAATATGCAAATTATGGGGTAAATAGAAGAAGTTGAAAGGTTACATACTATGTTGAAATTTCAGTATCCAAGCGTTTGGGCTGTTAATTTGCAGCATTTACAGATTTTACAGGGTTCTGTGTGGCATGGTTATTGCTAACTAAACTAAAAATAAACATTTAAACAAATTGTTAATTTAAATAAAAGAAACAATAACTGAAATAAAAAATAATAAAACTTCAGTTAGCTGCCAAGACAATATTTCTCATTTTTGTTTAGTTTAACTTAAAGTACTAAAATTACAAAAACCTGCGTCAAAATTATTAAAACTTCAATGAAAATTATAACGAAAACAAAATTCAAAATATGAATAAAAACTGTAATAGTAAATAGGGCTGCACAATTAATCAAATTTCTAATCGTGATTACAATTACGGATGCCACGATTACGGAATCGTTCAAAGCGGCAATTAATCATTTAAAGTCCACTTACGTTATTCTGCGTGCTTAGGATGTGTTTTTTTTCTTTCTACAGGTTATCGTAAGAGTTTTTCCATTGTTTTAATTTTAGTTTTAATATATCATTATAATACCATGCATATTTTTTTTTATTATTATTTAAAGAAGAAACCAAACCAATGTATATATAACATTTGAGGCTTAGTACTATAGAAAAGCAATAAAAGTTTTTCAGTTAGTGTTTTCAGCTTGTTTAAATTGTGATAATCGTAATTAATAATCGCAATTACAATTTCAAGGGAATAATCGACAATTATGATTTTTGTCATAATCGTGCAGCCCTAATAGTAAATCAGTGATACTAAAATAACACCGTTATATGGGCAGTATTGTACGGCAAGGTCCTGTTTGTAATTTTATCTTTTTTTTCTTCTTTTTTTTATGAGCTGATAAGAGCGATTTCTTAATCGTCTTAGGGTGCTTTCACACCTGGCCTGTTGTTTCGGAACCTGGTGCGTTTCCCCCCTTAGCTCGGTTCGTTTGGGCATATGTGAACACTGCAATCGCGCTCGGATCCGCGCCAAAACAATCGGTCCGAAATCGCCTGAACGAGGTGGTCTTGGCTCGATTGAAAACGAACTCTGGAGCGGTTCGGTTGTAGTGAGAAAGCAATCCGATCTAACGGACCAACGAACCAGGCTATATCACAATTTATGATGGGTAATTACGTAAGTTCCGTGAAAAGCATTAGCTTTGTTGTTTTGCTAATACCTCAAAATGAACCTGTGAATGTCTGTGGGTGAGCACGTCTTTGCCATTCAAAAATCAAAGCACACTTTTTTTTATTTTATGATGCCGTCTTATTGCTCTTCTTTGTAGTATGTGAATTTTAAAAATGTTTTCCCAATCAATCCCATCCTGATGGATGACAGCTGTGACAGCTAAGTGGAATCCCGGAAAATAAACCGTGGAACTTTGACCAATGAGAGAACAGTTTACTCGCTTTTTTGGTCCGTTTAAAAACTTTGCCGTGTGAAAGCGAACCGCACCAAGAATAAAAAGCAACATTGTTATAATTTCAATCCCTGTTTTGGAACAAAGCAATCAATCTACAGGTGTGAAAGTACTCCCATCTGAAAGCAGCCTTGTGTGAGGTTTGTTTGATGATCTGCTTTGCTTTGTACTCTGATCTGATTTGTCTCTGGCGCCTCCTGCAGGTGCGTATGGCCCTGAAAAAGGCAGAGAAGGAACTGGAGTCTCGCAGCAACTGGTCTCCTCCTGAAGCCCTGCAGAAATGGCTGCAGCTCACTCATGAGGTGGAGGTGCAGTACTACAACATCAAGAAACAGAACGCAGAGAGACAACTGCAGGTGGCCAAAGAGGGGGTGAGCAGCATTTTTCGCAGTCATTTTATTAGCTGAGATGAAACCGTGGTAAAAACATTTAGATTGATGACAGTTCAGCTTTGTTGTTGTAGTACAACCCTAGAATGTGGTAACAGACTTTAAAATGTTTTTAGAAATGTTACATGTTTAAGAGGATAACAGATTGCTGCTAATAATGTCAATTAAGCATGTATTTAAATATCAGAAAATAGATTAGTTTATGTAATGTAAGGTTTCACTAGGATTTAAAAAAAATGAAAGAAAACCTTTAATAGATTTGTGAGATATCAGTAGATGGATTTACAATAATGTAATATAATAATAATATAAATGATATAATAATCATTTTCTTTAAAAAAAAAAATGTCACATGGTTTAGGCAGAAAAAATTAAGAAGAAGAGAAATACTTTATTCGGGACGTTCCATGTGGCACATAGTTCTTCGCTAGATGATGTGGATCACAAAATACTTGCAGCCAAGTAAGTCACACAAACATTTCTCAACATTTCTTAATGGCAATTTAAAAAATAAATGAATAAATGGAAAAAAAATAACCCTTAAAACATACCGCCATAATCTCTTTGTCTACAGGCAAGCTCTGGGTGAGGTAACAGCAGCTCTGAGAGAGAGACTCCATCGTTGGCAGCAGATTGAGTTCCTAACAGGCTTCACGCTGGTCAATAACCCAGGCCTGCCCTCTCTGGCCTCTGCCCTCAACCTGGACCCCAGCTTCATGGGCGGCCGTGGCACACCCCAGCATTTCATGTCCGACGACATGGATGACATGGATGAGGACATAGTGTCACCAGGAACACTTCAATGTAAGGACTTGCCGGACAGCGATAGGGATAAGTCCCAGTCAGCCAAAGGCCAGCAAAGACCTTGTGGTATTTTGACCAAATCCAAAAATCCCTAGTTTTGAGCTATTTAGGTTGTTTGTGCGCAAGTTCTGTCAGAAATGGTTGTATGCACTGAGCGTGTTTGCACACTTCTTATTTGTGCTTTCTGCTGGAGTGTACAGGTGCTCCATCTACAGGTGTTTTACACAGAGGGGAGTACTTCAAGATCTTCACTACACATTGCTGTCACGTGTTTTTGAAATGGCTACTATGCACTCTTTGTACAGATCTTCATGTTAATTCATGTTAAATTCGATGGAGGGTCACAGAGTAGGCCAGAAGAAACAGGCCCATATGCGAGTTAAGTGGTCCAGTACAAGTCTGAAGTTGTTGTGGATTGTAATGCTCCATCTGAATGTGTGAAATAATGTTATCATCAAACAAGCTCTAAGAAAATAGTTGTTTTCCCAGGTAAAAACGTGAAATAAAATTGGTGTTCATTGGGCAAAATGGATTAATTCTGAAAATTTTATTGCTGAACTCACTTTCCACAATATATCTTGAGTGCTGTTCTAACAAGAAGTATTCATAAGTATTTTCAGATAAGAACTCAAATCCTTGAAGTGTTTTATTTTAGTAAAGCATTGCCAAAAATCTAATTGTAGAGGTCTGTTTTAGTAGTACAGTTATTAACAGTTGCACCCCTACCCTTGCCCCTTACCCCCTCCAGATGCAGCGTGGCTAATGGGTCGCCGAGCAAGTGATCTCTGGTCTTTGAATTCGGATTGCCAGTCTTTTTGGAAGTACTCTGGTGGGCTAAACTACCATGTCCTTCACCCCAACCACTCCTCTCACTTCCTCTTGTTTTTCTGAACCACTCTCTTTTAAAGTGATACGCTGCCCATTACCCTGGCTACTGCAAAGGGAAACTGGACAGAAAGAAACGCTCTCAGTCTACACCTCTCAATCGTGTCCTTGTACACAGCTGTGAAATGGTTTACTCGGAAATGCATGATCTCTCTTAGCCTGTTTTGTTTTTAATTTTTCACATATCGCTAAGAAAACTTCAGACTTCGACAGAGAGTCGATCCTTACATGATCCTTTTTTACGTTTTATGTAACTTAATTAGCTTGGAGTCGATATGAAATCAAAATAGACACTTTTACATCCTTAACACACATTCCTGGTCTTGTCATAAACAATTACTTGGTAAAAGTTAAGTATAAGTATAAAGATATAATTTGTAAAGTTTCATCAAAGTGTAGTAATCCCCTGATATGATAGAAACATTCCTGATGGATAGAAACAAAAACTGCACTATAAAGAAATGCATGAATAGGGTGGTTAGGGTTCAAACTTGTCCACAACTTCCTTATTGTGTCTGTACACTTTTCCACCTCGTCACCTAGTCTCAAAGGTTCTTGTTTCACCTTCTCCAGCTTGCCACGTGTCACCCAATGTTATTTCAATGTCTGCATGCTTTGAGTTGTTTCTCTGAGTGACGTTATTGTTTTGTGCCCCTACAGCTCCCAGTATGATGTCACTCCGGCAACGGCACATTGACCCACAGCTGGCCATGGGTTCGCAGAGGTTCGTAGAGAGTTGTCTCGCACTTGGTGGGCAGGAAGGGGAAGGTAGCTTGTATTCATCCAGGTCTAGGACGGCGCTACGCCAGGCACGCAGCCAATCTTTTGGGCAGTTTGACGCTCTGGGACTGCCTCCTCTTTCCTCAGCAGTGTCTCATCCTGCTATCTACTTCGCTGCCTCATCCCACACTCCCCACTCCTCTTCCGTCGCTACAGCCCCTCATGCATCCCACTATCACTCTTCACATTTCCAGCCCATGGAACACCATCCCAGACCTCCCCTATGATGCCAGCCCAGCGCGCCCCCGCCGTTGCGGCAGCTATGGGTATCACTTCATTCTGTTGTGCTTGTTTTGTGCTTCTCAGCTGGCATGATCCTGGGACTTCGTCCAAAACATTTAACAGGACTTTTTTACCACACATTTCACACTTTCTGGTGAACCACTACTTGTGGGGTTTGTTACTATAATTGGCCATACTCACTACAGTTAATGATACTGCAGCTTGCAACTTGGCTGTGTAACTTCCTGTGACGTTCTACCTTGTTGCTTAATCTGTTCTTGCACCATCTGTCCCTTAACTTTGAACCAGTTCTCACACCTGCATGCCTGAAATGACCTAGTGCAGGGGGTGGCCAACATCCTGCAGAGTCTAGCTCAGGGCTCTTCAACTCCAGTCCTGGAGACTTCAGTTTCAACTTTAAATTGGGACTGGATTTAGACTTGGACTTGAAGAGTCTTAGTTAGCTCGAACGTATCCCAACACACCTGCCTGGTAGTTTCTAATAGTGCTGAAGACCTTGATTAGCTTGTTCACGTGTGTTTATTGGGGATTGGTAGTAAACTCTGCAGGACAGTGGCCTTCCAGGAGCAGGACTGGACACCCTTGATGTTGTGTGTCTCTATGTTAGAGCTGTCCAATCACATTCCTGGAGGACCACCTTCCTGTAGAGTTTAGCTCAAACATGCACCAGTGCATCTGCATGAAGCAGGAGCAGACTTGGACACCCCTGCTCTGTTAGGTTGCACTTTTCTAGCACTGGGTAGTTGAGCCTTGGCATGTTGTGCTTCAGTTTAGACAACTTTTGAGGTTGGAAAGGTCAGGTAGCAGTAAATGCAGTGTTACCTTAAATATAACCATCAAGTTGTCTTGGTTATTTAGGACTAGTCTGATATCTCACTCATTTCTTGATGCTAATTTCACCGTTTTCATTCACAGGGACTTGAATCGCTCCGACTCCGATTCTTCCTTGTGTATATCCCAGACTGGCGAGCAGCTACGCCTATCCTACAGTTCCAAAGGCTTCCCTGTGAAGCCCACTTCACTCCTGCATGGCCCCCATTCACGCTCTGAAGAGGGAGCCCACTCCAACGCACACAACGGGGGCAACAGAGTTCACGATTGGGGCGCATCTCCCGATGGAGGTCCTGATAGTCCCATATTAATGAAGAAGGTGTATGGCATAGAGAAATCTGCCAGTATGAGCGAGATCCACGGCTCCCAGGCAGTGATGTCCATGTCGGAATCCTCACGCTCCTTAAGCCCAAACTCCACTGAACCTGATACGCCGTCCCCCACTGGACTGACTGAGGGGAAGGCTGGAAACCGCATACCCCAGATCTCTTCAAAAAAGAGCCCCCTAGAGGAGGACAGTGGCTCCACAGGTGAAGACACTGACTCTGCTGCCAGTCGCAAGAAACATACCTTCAAGATCTTCAAAAAACAGAAGAAATAAGACAACTGGACAACAGTTTTGTTTTTCCCTTACTTTTCTTTTTGTCGTGTTGTTGATATAAATGTTTTGATTTATTTTTTCCCCTTCTGGTCAGAAGTTACGGCACAACCAAACACCTTTCCGAGGTCTTTATATAAATGTTTGCTTTTTCAGAGGAACACTTAGGAACAAGCTTGATTTTGGGGGTGGGTGGGAACGATACACCAGTGGGAACGGGATGGACCTTTTTTGGGGAATGTAACGCATTATTTATTCATCAGGAGACAGTACCAGACTTTCAAAGGAATCTTCCCTCTGATGGACTTTTCTTTCCTTGTATAATCTGTATCAGTTTGCATGTCTTCGCCTTTGTTTGATTGAACTTTGAATGCTCCTAGATGTTTGCTTGGTTCTTGTTCCCCTTTGCTTAAAACGCGAAATAGCCTGGTTCTTTAGTTTCTATAAGCACACTCCTTTGTCTTTCAAGTTAAAATGAATTGTCAGCTGAACGTTTAATTGTACTCTTCGATAAGTGTTTGTCGATGGTCAGAGAAACTGTAAAAGGGCTGAACTATCAGTGTAAAACTCCCCTCAATTATGTTGCACTATTTCTAAATGTGGTTGTGTCGGTTTTGTAAAGAACATTTAGAATATGCTGGAATACGCACTAAAACGTTTACACAAACCATGACACTGAACGTATCTCCAAGGCATCAGGGATTTCTAGTATGTTTAAGAATTACACGAATAGAATATTTGATCATTGTTGATCATTCCAAATCATTTAGAAAATACAAGATGGTTCATGAATGTGCACATTAATGTTTTTTGAGCATTTACTCTTAACCATGCCCCTGCTGACTGTTTCTAATGACATCATCCAAAATCCAAGTTCCCAAGAACACGTCTTTTTAAAAAAACAACAAAAATAGAAAATGTAAGGTGAATGCATACTTCACTTTGTTTAAATTACAGAGTTATTACAGCTTCAGCAGATCTTGCCATCTTGTATTCAAAGTGCCAAACTAAAGCCACCATCCAGAAATGTATACACTTCCCAAAGGTTGTATTTCGGTTTTGTTAGATCACTGATCTGAGATCTCATCTTAAATAGGTTTGCTATAAAGGTGCAGATTTTCCAAATTGTGGTGGAAGGGTGGGTGTCTACATTTACTTCTGACATGTTAAAAGAGAGCTTGGATATATTTTGTTCCTGCTGAATTAAGTCATATAATTTTTTTTTGACCCACAAGAAGTCGAATCCTTGATTTCAGGTGCTCTTTTATATCATTTTAAAGCTAGACCACACACAATTGCTGTTATAATGGAGTGACTTGCCTTTAAATGGTCAGATGTTGGGGCAGACGGATTTTACCACTGTGCATTTTCTGAGGAAGTGGAGACTGTTCTTCTTGTGGTTTACATGATGCTCACTAAGATAAAAGTATTTTTTATCCCAGTGCACTGAAAATTACAAGCACACTTTCTGAAAAGAGAGGGGGGTTAAAAATCAAAAGGCTTCGTGAGGGATGTCGCTATGCATTTTATTATTTTCTACCCACAGGCTTTGAAGGTCCAACGTATCCACGAACCTGGAGGCAAACCAAAGCAGCGCTGCACGAAAAATCTGTCATTTCTTTTGTGAAAGATGGTACAAGACCACATCCAAATGCATATCAACCAGTCAGTCTTTAACAGATATACAACTGTGCAGATGTATTTGTTTCATCTGTGCCTCTTTTGCACGAAGCGGCTCTTGTCAGTGAGTATGTCGGTGTGTTCGCATCAGTCCGGTCCAGTAAACCGCACTTCACCGTGTTGATGCATGTTCTCAAACACGGACGGGAGAGACGAACTGTTTTAGACTCTGTTGCCCTTTAGATATTCCTGCTCACTTCTCCGTTTGCGCTATTTATGCCTATACTGTACAGAAAGAGGTGGAGAAACAAAGTAAAAATGATCATTTTGCATCTTCTGTAATGTTCAAAACTGTAGTCTTCAAATTTTATGGCACTCCTGCATGAAAGCAATAAAAAAGGTTTTAAAACGAGTGAGATTTCCATTATTCCATATTGTTTTTTCCCAGTAACATATACAGTGGCCCCAAAATATTTGTATCTATCTATCTATTCCTTCGTTCTATTTATTTAGCTAACTAGCTAGCTATCATGCTGTTGATAAATTGTTCTATCGTTCTTTTAATATATTGATATATCTATCGTTCAAGATATAATTCTGTCAATAAATTGTTCTATCGTTCTATCTATCATTCTACTGTTCTATCTATAGGCCTATCTATCTAGGTAGCATGCGTTCTAGCTATCTTTCTGTCTATATATTGATCTATCGTTAACAGTACTGTTCCGTCCGTTCTTTCTTTCTTTCTGTCTGTCTGTCTAAGACAAATAGATAGATCTGTTAGGATAGATCGGCATCCCATATGAATGTACATTATTATGTACTTGTATGAATCGGACAAAGGGTGGAAACACTTCATTGCCCAGAATGCCACTTCCTGTTATTCCAATTCAACTTCTTTTGGGTGTGGCTAATTTAGTTAAAATAACTTGAAACGGAGCTAATTCCTAAATTATGAAATTCAAGACATTCCTTGGCATATCTGCACAGGGCACTGTTATAGCATAATTTTAATACTGCAATGGGTGCTTATTAATATATTACACATGTAGGAATTAGGAAAACCGTACTATATTCCAAAGCAAAATATGGTTGTCCAGGATCTTATACAGCACTTAAACTGAGAGTAATTATTCATGAGCTATGCTAAGTTTGCGTTAGAGGGTGGAACTCCGTTCTGTTTGCTTAAACTTTAACACCTGCAGCTCAGACAGGATGTTATTCCGGGTACCTGCTTTGGCGTTTGATCACATGAAATCCTGCACTGCAACGGTCCTTGATGCGGATATGGCGCAACCAGCCAAATAACGCAACAATATGAGCGACTGTGCACCATGAACGCAGCAAAAAGCTTCATTTTAATCAGATACAAGTTGCTTTGTTTAATCCAAATCTTCTGGTGGTTGTTGGGTTTCGCAGAGGAATGATGGGAGATCTTCCAAAGAGTTTGTTCCGCTTGTGTTTGCATGTCATTATTTCTGTAAGTATTTCAGATGCAAATTAGAGGTAGACCTAGAGTTTACATCCATAACTAAATGTATCTGTTGTTTATTTGTTTATAACCAGATGTCTTTAACTGGCTGTCTGAGCCGATCCAGCAGCACAGGTAATGTGGCTTTTCTTGACGCACCTGGCGAGCCCGTCTCCAACTGTCCCTTACGCGTAAAGTACAGCTGTTTTCAGTCGTCCGTAGTGCATGTTCAGGTTCTGGTTTCTTTCGATACTGGATCTACCTCAGTCGTTTTCCACAAATACTGGACCTGCGAGCCAGGACATACCAGAACCCGAGTGGTGACCGTGAGTTTTCCTGACTGGCTTGTGTACCGACCTGACTGGATAATACGCGGTTCTGACTGGGTTCTCAGCTGTTTATTGCGTGCTTGGATCGGACCGGATGAGTCCACCGGACCTGGCAGGTTTCCTGGAACCAGTGTGACTGTTCCCCTTGATATTCACTCACCACTGAGTCGACCCTTCAAACAACACCAGCTTTGTGCCAAATGGGACACAGATTTGCTCCTGAGAGTCAGAAGAGATGACATACCACAATGCTTGGAGGAAAATGGTATTATATTATATGTAATATACATATATGGCACAATAATTCCTTTTTAAAGTGTTTTTGTTTGCAAGTTTAATCATAAAAAAGTGCATGTAATACATTCTTTTAATTTTTTACATTTTCTTTTAAGAGGTGGCATCTCTTCTTTCCACAATGTATGCTTCTACTGGTGAACGTTATGGCATCATTAAAACCCTCCAGCCATTCAGAAATAAAGTTTTGGAAGGGCTGAGAATCAAATCCATCTATTATCCCTGGTGAGAGCTTCTCTAATTCTACTTATTTGGCAACAAGGCTTAAGATTATCATTTAATTCGTGGAATAACATCATGATTGTTGGTTTGGACTTTTTAGGTTTGCTGTTTCACTTTGGGTTTTGGTGGAGAAACCTTGCAGTAACCATTTATGTGGACTTCTGCTCCACATTGATTCTGAAAATAATTATGTCACCCCTACAATGTTCCTCACTGACACTGGTAGGGCTGTGAACCACTCAGAACCACTCATATCTGTTTTTGATCAGTTACAAAATTGACTTTTGTCTGATTCGTTCAGGTAAGATTCATGTCCAGGTGCATGGAGATGCTGGGCACTCCTCAGCGTTCCTTTCATCTTTTAAGGTTCCTCTTCATCAGTGGTGCCGTATCAGCCTGGAGATTCTGGGACGTGTGGTAAGTTTATGGATGCATACATGTGTAATGATCTCATAGTATTGCATGATAGGTTGGTGCACAAAGGCCACAGGTTTGGTTCTCAAATTGGGTGTTTCAGAAATAGCTTATTGTTATCCCATAGGCTCCAGTGGATTTATAATGTGGTTTTGCATGAGAATAGTACAATTTAGCAAATAAAGGTGCATTTACAATTTTTTTTTTTTTATTAATGATTATTGTTGTAAAAAATAAAATCTTATGCAACTGCATCTGTAAAAGCATACAGCCATGGCATTTTTTTTTTTTCAAATACAATGTAGAATTTATTCCAGAACATGTTGAAATGAAAACATATTTCTGTATGCATTTCTGTAAGTATTTCTTTGGTTTAAAGTGGGCCTTAACAAAATGTCTGAAAAATATTATATTTGCACACACAGATGGCCTTGCTAATATTGTTGGCAAATGAGATTTAATATTTGGCAGCACAGATTTTTGCCCAGTTTGTGGCTCAGTAACAACGCCATTCATACACTTCGCGACTGTAGTTTGATTCACTATTCTAGTGCGAACTGATCCAGTCATATTTGAAACTCATATTCTCATATTTCCCTCTCCTGTAGGCAAAAGTTTCTATTGCATGTATGGAAGCGCAGCAGAAATTTGTTAGCACAGCTGAGCATGTGTAAGAATCTTCATTTAAAGCAGTAAAACTTAAATTTCACAATTGTTACATTAAGAAAGATCTGGTGTTTTGGGCAGATTTGGCAAGAATGTCATGTTGGATGACACACATGGATATTTTGTGATTGGTGGAGGTAAATTCATACGAGGCATTGAAGGATATTATGGACCAGCTACATACTATCGTATACAAGGGCTCCCAGCTGACAAGGTAGGGTATAATGGAATTTTTAGTTTTTTATATTATATGTTTATATTAATAAAACGGATAGTTCCGGTCCTTGATTCTGATTGGTTGAGCCATGTTCGAAGCTGTTGTAAATTACACTACAAACATACACCTTTGTTTACTTCTGTGTGTTGCTCGGCAACCACTTTGTTGGAACCACAACTGTTTCTGAGGAACTACATTGTTTGGTGGAAGAATACTGTTTATTTTATTTTACACTTTATTTGCTCCGTTTTATTCTGTGAAACCTTGAATAACCGTTTTATAAAAGCAATAAGCCCCGTGAAGCCGTGGTTTACAGTGAATTTATAACAGCTAAGGGGGTTAGCTCCACTTCGCGTCGTGCCTAACAACGCCCCTTAGCTGTTATAAATTCACTGTAAACCACGGCTTCTTGGGGCTTATTGCTTTATTCTATTCCCCTGAACTAAGCATAGTGATATTTTACATCTTCACAGGCTGAGATTCACCTTCCTCCTGTAATATCAAAAGTGAATATAACCGGATGGTTCCAGTCTTGTGAGAATTTCAAATCAGAGCTTTTTCTGTCTGCAATAGATCACTCTCTCACTGTAAAGAGACCATCAGGTCAGTACCATGGGTGTCCACTAGCTGGCACTAGATATCAAAATATATGTTTTTGTCATTGTCTACAGTACAGTTGTTTTGTCTCACCACATCAATATTCACATGCAGACAGCTGTTTGGACACATACACAGAGCTGCAACTGAATCACAGTACTGTCAACTCAACAGAGCAGTGTATGTTCTTCGAAACAAATCCTTACAGACGCCAAGTTGCACAGTTGACCAAGCTACTATCACAGAAATATGGTAAGATTGTATTTAAACAGTTTGTTGATGGGTGTTCACATTATACACACTCTACTCATCAAAAGCTTGGGGTCAGTAAGATTATATACAGTATATATTATTTTATTGTTACTGTTTTGTAGGCAGGGTGAATGCATCAGCTGTGAGCAGGATTCTGTATGCTCTAGTCCTCCGTAAGATCAGTGCAGCTCACAGTCTGGATGTTATAACCAGGATGATGCCTTTCCTGCTGCAGTCTGGCTGCTTGGGAGACAATAGAGCACTACATCTGTCCTCTGTACTGTACAGCAGTGGATTCGGAGTCAGGAGACAGCCGTACAAGGTGTGTGTGTGTGTGTGTTTAGGGTAATGTGGCAATCAGGTTTCTCAAGCATCAGTTTTACATGTCTATTTGTAATCTGAACTCTGTGAACACTTAAAGTGAACGAGGATTAGTAGTTTAACATGAAACCTGATGTGTGGCATTGCAGGCTTGGCTGTTGTCCCTGTTGGCAGCTCAGAAAGACTGGAGGTTGGCGCTCTTACGTTTAGGGCACATGCACCATGTTGGTGACCTGGAGGTGACCCCTGACCGTGACCTGTCCTATGCTTATTACATTAACATCGCAAGACAAACCAGCATGGATCAGAAGAATCCCTCCCCACAGCAAGTAAGAGACTTTTTAAGTGTCTTTTTTTGAAAACAACACTCAAATTTCTCAAATCACGGATGATGGTTAAAAAAAAGATAGGAGGAAAAATTATATTTCGTTTCTATATTTATTTCTATTGTATTTCTCTAGTCATATTTCTGTATTATATTTGCTTTTACATTCTCTTGCAAAACTCGTGTTGTTCCGAGAAACTTTTGCATTGGCTCGCTATTAAACTTTTGCGTTCCACCAAGAAACTTTGTTCAGTCACAAAACTTTTGTGAAGGAAATAATGAGAAACCATAGTTTTGAAAACGC